CCCCAAAACCCCAAAACCCCAAAACCCCAAAACCCCAAAACCCCATTTAGTCTGGATATAATTGATGTAAATCAGTATTTAATTTATATAAAAGTGCAGATAAATGACTTCAACTTTGCGAAAGGATGAAGATGACTATATCACATCAATCAACTATCAAAAACAGAATAGTGATGAAGAAGAAAGCTCTGGACAATGTTCACCAGTGCTCGAGAAATCGGAAAGTAATAGATCTGATGGCAGCTCTGAACTATCTGATGCAAGCAGTGCCTTATCTTCTATTTCAGATAAAAAGACTTACTTCGAATCCAAAGTTTCATATCAACGAAGAGCATTGTTGAGGAAATAATATATCTCTTCAGTTACGCCAAATAGGAACAAATATCTGTCAGTTATTGACCCCAATTATCTCTCTATTAATCATTGTTTTGATTAAATCGATTGCTATTGATATAATTTCTGCATGGAACAAACTTCCAATTTATAGTGGGCTTCCCTATGTTTTTAACATTCCAATTCAGCCTCTTGGACAGCTTGGAGTGGAATTCAATATGTCAACTTGAGACCAGTGGTATTTGTATGGTTTTGGTGACGATACAAGCCAAGAAACTAAAGACTTCTTTGGATTTAATGATGGAACCCCTGTTTTCAACCCGGACTCGAAAGGCATGCTTGATGGTTATACAAATGTCCTTCAAACAGCCTGCCCAAAAACTGAAAAGGCCACTCCAAATTTTGTTCAGAGAAATAGTACAGACACAAATAATATGTATTTGGAAAAGGTTCTAAACCATTTGAATACAATCAGGTTAAATTTCAAGGATAGATCAGCAGAAGTTGAAGATCTCGAGTTGCTTCCTGATGGTGCTTACAATATTTATGAGGCTAGTGAGACCAGATTTAAGTATAATTTGCAGATAAACGATAACACCTTCATACAATACCATAGGAATAATGGAGTAACTAAAATAGGAGTACAAAATCCACTCTCAAATGAGACTAGCTTTTTCTTCAGAAGCATTGAAGGTCAGATTGCTGCAGCTGATTTGGTCAACAAAGCTTATATTTCCAAGATGTTCCCAAACACTCATATCTTCAGTGGAGTTCAAATGATGCCTATAACCCCAGCTTTTGATAAGGAAATAATGAGAATGATCAATCTCATGGGTGGAGCATTATTCCCGTTATCTCTCTGATTACTCCTTCCTGTATTCATCTGCAATATAGTCCTGGAGAAAGAATTTAAACTCATCGAAATCATGAAAATGAATGGTCTAAGGATGCGAAATTATTGGATTATCACATTTATCTTCAACTTCATTCTCTACTTCATCACTTGCTTTGTGTTCATCATGTTCGGACGATTTGCACTAGGATTAACATTCTTTTATGAAACTAGCTATCTTGTTCTGATAATATTCTTATTGGGATGGGGATTATCTCAGATATCATTGGGATTTTTTTTCTCTGCATTTTTGCGTACAGCCCAAACAGCCTCGATGCTAGGATATTTAATATCCATTTGGGTAACATTAGTTGCGGTATCTCTCAACATTACTCTATTTGCTCCTCCCCAAGAAGTATCATGGTGGCTTCTTCTCTATCCAACCTTCCCTTACACTAGGTTTTTTTTCGAGATATCCACTGCCTGAGGTTGGTCTTCATGAGTTCGAAGTTTTAACGACTTGAGTTCTGAGGCTACCAGATGACTTTGGATTCTGTATGTGGAAGCCGCAGTGTTTATGATTCTTGCTTTCTACTTTCAACAAGTGGTCCCACAAGATTATGGAGTGCCCAAACATCCATTATTTTGCTGTAGAGCTCTCAGATGTAAAAAGAAATTATCTACAACAAGGGAAAAAATTGAATTTCTAAATAGACAAGAAAGTGATTTAAAAAACATTGCTGATGATTCAGAATTAACTCAGTTAGAGGATGATGATGCAAAGAAGGAGAGAAAGACTGTGTATGGACTCCCTGAGGAAGATTATTATAAGTACCCATTGATTGTCAAAGACATCAGGAAGGTATATCCAGGGATAGGCGGAAGACCTCCCAAAGTTGCCACAAAGAAATTTTGCCTTAGAATTAAAAAGGGTGAAGTTTTTGGACTCTTGGGTCCCAATGGAGCTGGTAAAACCACTCTAATCTCCATGCTGACCGGACTTTACAGACCAGATTCAGGAAATGCCTGGGTTGCTGGATTTGATATTAAAAATAATTTGGAACAAATCCAGCTTCAAATGGGAGTGTGACCTCAATTCGATATTCTCTGGCCTGATCTTACTGTCCAAGAACACCTTTTATTCTATGCCAGACTCAAAGGGATCTCTCCCAAAGAAGAATCCAGCATGGTTAAAGAAGCCATGCAAGATGTGTTCCTCGAGAAGTTCGCCAAGTTCAAAGTCAACCAGTTGTCTGGAGGAATGAAAAGAAGGCTCTCCGTAGCCATCAGCTTGGTTGGAGATCCCAAGATTGTGTATCTCGATGAGCCTTCGACAGGGCTAGACCCTGAGAACAGGAGGCAGCTGTGGGACATTCTGAGCGATATCAAGGGCAAGAGAGCATTGATGATCACAACTCACTCGATGGAAGAAGCTGATGTTCTGTGTCAACGTATTGGTATTGTTACAGATGGTATGCTCAGATGTATTGGACCTCAAGTAAGACTAAAAACTTTGTATGGCGGAGGATACCACTTGTTTGTGAATTGACATAAATCTAAATACTTGAGAGAATTGAAGCGTGAAGCAAAACAGTGAGCGAAGGCTTCTAGTCATAATATGACAAGAGAAGAAAGCAAAATTAAAATTGAAATCAATAAAACATATGACTTGAATCAAATCCATTTAAGATTAAAAGAATTCATCCAAGAAATCGTTCCAAACATATATCTATTGCAAGAATTTAATGGCAACTTCACATTCCAAATTCCTCTTGAAGGCTTTGATGCTGAAAAATTATTCTTAAAAATGGAGAACAACAAAGAAGACCTAATGATTTCTGATTGGGGAATTTCTCAATGTACTTTGGATGATGTATTCACAAAGATTTGCACTCCAAAAGAAAACTAACTAAATTCTGTTCACTTTCTATTTAGCAAATGAGTTTAGGGGTTTTGGGGTTTTGGGGTTTTGGGGTTTTGGGGTTTTGGGGTTTTGGGG